CCCAATCAAAAAGAAGAATTACAGACCAATATCCTTGATGAACATGGATGCAAAAATTCTCACCAAACTACTAGCCAATAGGATCCAACAGTACATTAAAAGGATTATTCACCACGACCAAGTGGGATTTATCCCTGGGCTGCAAGGCTGCTTCAACATCCGCAAATCAATCAATGTGATACAATACATTAACAAAAGAAAGAACAAGAGTCATATGATCCTCTCAATAGATGCAGAAAAAGCATTTGACAAAGTACAGCATCCTTTCCTGATCAAAACTCTACAGAGTATAGGGATAGAGGGTACATACCTCAATATCATAAAAGCCATCTATGAAAAACCTAGGGCGAATATCATTCTCAATGGGGAAAAGCTGAGAGCTTTTCCCCTAAGGTCAGGAACGCCGCAGGGATGTCCACTATCACCACTGCTATTCAACATAGTATTAGAAGTCCTAGCCACAGCAATCAGACAACAAAAAGAAATCAAAGGCATCCAAATCGGCAAAGAGGAAGTCAAACTCTCACTCTTTGCAGATGATATGATACTGTACGTGGAAAACCCAAAAGACTCCACCCCAAAACTGCTAGAACTCATACAGGAATTCAGTAAAGTAGCAGGATATAAAATCAATGCACAGAAATCAGTGGCATTCCTATACACCAACAACAAGACAGAAGAGAGACAAATCAAGGAGTCGATCCCATTTACAATTGCACCCAAAACCATAAGATACCTAGGAATAAATTTAACCAAAGAGGCAAAGGATGTGTACTCAGAAAACTATAAAATACTCATGAAAGAAATTGAAGACACAAAGAAATGGAAAAACGTTCCATGTTCACGGATTGGAAGAACAAACATTGTGAAGATGTCAATGCTACCTAGAGCAATCCACACATTCAATGCAATCTCCATCAAAATACCATCCACTTTTTTCAAAGAAATGGAACAAATCTTCCTAAAATTTGTATGGAACCAGAAGAGACCCCGAATAGCCAGAGGAATATTGAAAAAGAAAAGCAAAGCTGGCGGCATCACAATTCCGGACTTCCAGCTCTATTACAAAGCTGTCATCATCAAGACAGTATGGTACTGGCACAAAAACAGACACATAGATCAATGGAACAGAATAGAGAGCCCAGAAATGGACCCTCAACTCTATGGTCAACTCATCTTTGACAAAGCAGGACAGAATGTCCAATGGAAAAAAGACAGTCTCTTCCACAAATGGTGTTGGGAAAATTGGACAGCCACATGCAGAAGAATGAAACTGGACCATTTCCTTACACCACACACAAAAATAGACTCCAAATGGTTGAAAGACCTAAACGTGAGACAGGAGTCCATCAAAATCCAAAAGGAGAACACAGACAGCAACCTCTTCGACCTCAGCCGCAGGAACTTCTTCCTAGAAACATCGCCAAAGGCAAGGGAAGCAAGGGCAAAAATGAACTATTGTGATTTCATCAAGATAAAAAGCTTTTGCCCAGCAAAAGAAACAGTCCACAAAACCAAAAGACAACCGACAGAATGGGAGAAAATATTTGCAAATGACATATCAGATAACGGGCTAGTTTCCAAAATCTATAAAGAACTTATCAAACTCAACACCCAAAGAACAAATAATCCAATCAAGAAATGGGCAGAAGACATGAACAGACATTTTTCCAAAGAAGACATCCAACAGATGGCCAACAGACACATGAAAAAGTGCTCCACATCGCTCGGCATCAGGGAAATCCAAATCAAAACCTCAGTGAGATACCACCTCAAACCAGTCAGAATGGCTAGAATTAACAAGTCAGGAAACGACAGATGTTGGCGGGGATGTGGAGAAAGGGGAAACCCTCCTACACTGTGGGTGGGAATGCAAGCTGGTGCAACCACTCTGGAAAACAGTATGGAGGTTCCTCAAACAGTTGTAAATAGAGCTACCATACGATCCAGCAGTTGCACTACTGGGTATTTACCCCAAAGATACAAATGTAGGGATCCGAAGGGGTACGTGCACCCCAATGTTAATGGCAGCAATGTCCACAATAGCCAAACTGTGGAAAGAGCCAAGATGTCCATCGACAGATGAATGGATAAAGAAGAGGTGGTATATATACACAATGGAATATTATGCAGCCATAAAAAAGGAACGAGATCTTGCCCTTTGCAACGACATGGATGGAACTGGAGGGTGTTATTCTGAGTGAAATAAGTCAATCAGAGAAAGTCACGTATCATATGACCTCGCTGATATGAGGAATTTTTAACCTCGGGAAACAAACTGAGGGTTGCTGGAGTGGTGGGGGGTGGGAGGGATGGGGTGGCTGGGTGATAGACATTGGGGAGGGTATGTGCTATGGTGAGCACTGTGAATTGTGCAAGACTGTTGAATCACAGATCTGTACTTCTGAAACAAATAATGCAATATATGTTAAGAAAAAAAGAAGAAGATAGCAGGAGGGGAAGAATGAAGGGGAATAAGTCGGAGGCGGAGACGAACCATGAGAGAGGATGGACTCTGAAAAACAAACTGAGGTTTCTAGAGGGGAGGGGGCTGGGGGGATGGGTTAGTCTGGTGATGGGTATTAATGAGAGCACGTTCTGCGTGGAGCACTGGGTGTTATGCACAAACAATGAATCATGGAACACTACATCAAAAACTAATGATGTATGGTGATTAACATAACAATAAAAAATTTAAAAAAAAAGAAATACGTCCCAGAAAACAGTGATTCGGACCTAAAATCACTCAATATTATCAATAAGTAAGGCCTCACACACAAAGGGAAGACTTAACTATCACAAATGGCTTCTCACAGAGTTGATTCTATTAAAAAAAAAAATGGCATCAACGAGGAATGAAACGGGGTCCCAAACACCTTGCACACCAGCAATTTTCTCCCAGATTCGGCTAGGTCTCAACAGCTAAAGGGAGTCAAGAATAGGGGGTGTACTTGTTCTGCTAGGAGATGAGCCAGGATTCAAATTGTTTTGAGGTTCCTTCTCTTATTTTTTAATTGTTCGTAGTCTATCTGCAGAGAGAATAGTGAGTAAACTTTTTAGACCATTACCTGGCTTTCAGGATTCTTCTGTGGTAAATGAAGAGGAGAATGTTCATATTTTAAAGTTTTGAAATTATATTTTCTAACAAAAAAATAAAAAACAGCCTAAGATATAAGAAACAGATATTAATGTGAGGTACTGAAATTAATTGCATTCTGGGGCATAAGGGGTGGCTCAGTCAAGCATCTTTTTTTTTTTTTTTTAAGATTTTATTTATTTATTTGACAGAGAAAGACACAGCAAAAGAGGGAACACAAGCAGGGGGAGTGGGAGAGGGAGAAGCAGGCTTCCTGCTGAGCAGGGAGTCTGATGTGGGGCTCAATCCCAGGAGCCTGGGATCATGACCTGAGCCGAAGGCAGACGCTTAATGACTGAGCCACCCAGGCGCCCCGCATCTGACTCTTGATTTCAGCTCAGGTCATAATCTCAGGGTCGTGGGATCGTACCCCTCATTGGGCTCTGTGCTCAGTGGGGAGTCTCTTTGAGATTCTCTCTCCCTCCGCCCCTCCCCCTGTTCACACACACGCTGATAAATAAATCTTAAAAGAAATTAATAGTGTTCTTCCTCAAAACTGACAAATGAATAACAGAATATTGAAGGATAGATGAAAAATGGTTCATCAGCAAAAGGGCAACTTCATCCTCCCAAGTGGTGTGTTTCTTTAATCAAGTTCAAATCTACAAAAGTAAGGAAAAGGGGGGAGAAAAAAAGATTTAAAGGGGAAAGAGAAAAGACCTACTAGTTTTACTGTATTGTTAATGAGAAACAAAGAAGTAGTGAAGAAAGTCTTTTTAGGAGAAATCAAAACCACAGGCCACCCAAGTACAGAGCACCAGTGATGATTAGACACATTTTCTTAACAACTCAAGAGGTCTTTAGTCAAAGCCAAAAAAAAAAAAAAAAAAAAAAAATAGGCAAGGATCAATGATACAAAACAGAACGGAAAAAAATTTACCATTATCATTATGAATGGTCTTTACCTTGAGAATACCTGAGCCACTGGAGAACCAAACCAATTGGAAGAGTGTGATCAAGGTTTTGCAGCGTTCATCCCGTTCCGGACATCTACTTTCCGGAGTGAGAGAGCATCAAGGATCAATACATTGTTTGTGAAGATGATAGGAATGATTGGGTCCAACCAGTACACAGAAATAGCTTCCCCATCACTTTGCCTATGAGAACTTCTCTAAACTGAAGAGAGCTCCAGTGAGCACCAGACAGTGGATGGGCTCAGATACTAGGACACTACACAGGAGCAGGCGTGTGTAAGGCTCAACCACCAGCCAGGAGGAGCACTGAGCTCGGAAAGAGGCATTCATGTAAGACACAGGAGCTGTTCTGCTCTCTAGAGTGGAAATGGGATCACTGATGCTTGAAGCCACTAACCCCTGTAATGGCACCCCTCCAAGTACCAAAGTTATGAGTCCATCTGTCACTGTGACTTTTAGTAGAGTTTGTGAATTAGCAACTCATGAATCAGTCATTAAGAAAGCCAATTGAAAAAAAAAAAAATTCTGACCTTGGCAGGTGAAGAAAAAAGGCAGTTAGATATAAGCTATGATTGAAGCATCATTCAAAAAGAGGATCCACCATGTAACATTTAGCTGAAATTAGGAAAGAATCATCTACTGAAGACAACAAAAATTAGGTCTTTATGGTTTTGCTAGGGATCGTTAATTACAGTGAAAGCAGAACTTGGGATTTGATACAGCCCTACTGTTTTTGCGGCTTTGCCGTATTTCAGAACAACCCCCAAAGGTCTTGCTTTCACATGCTACTGAGAAGCCCAGAGACACGAGGAGAACAGCACACCCTAGACGGTTGATGTAATTTCTTACAGGCTCCCAGAAGACCAGAGCCAAGTGATGGCTTTCAACCTTCAACCATGTCCATCAGGAATACACTTCTCATAAATGACTGTATTAAATAGCTTACTTACCTTCACAGTAAGCAGAATCTCCCTGGACAGAAATGTAACCATTCTTGCACTCACAGGTAGCTTTCGTATTCCAGTTTTTACACTCTGAGTTTTCACCACATTTAGGGCCTTCTGCACAGAAGTTATGACCTAGAAAAAGTGAATAAAATTTCACATCAGAAGAGAAAAAAGGCTTGCAAATCCTAGAGCATGAATTATCCTCAGTCTATCAGCACCATGCACGAACACGTAACTTGGCAATGTGCAAGGGTGGGTTAGGAAGGGAATGGGAGAGGGGGAATGGGAAACTCTGGACTGTCGAGTGCTTGAGATGTTTTTCCTTAATGCTCAAAGTAGGTTCCATCCTGAAGGCTTTGATCCATGCTGACCCTGAATCCCCCTCCCACCACTTTCTGACATAACCAGTCTTTTTATAATTGCCTTGCCACAAAATTTATGATTCATAGAAAATATGTAAAATGAATCTATATGAATATATAAAACTAATATGACCAGAATATTATCACTACCCCTTAATGACACTTCCCCAAAGAGTCCCCCCTCCCAGCCATCAAAAATAACTATCCTGAATTTTGTGTGAATCACTCCCTTGCATGTTTTCATAGTTTTGTCAGATATAGGTACTTATTTCTAAAGAGAGCATTCAGTTTTTGCCTGTTTTGAACTTCCCATGAAAGAAATCCTATTTTACATATTCTCTATTGTTTTTTTTTCTATTCATCCCTGATAATGCCTGTAGCTACAGTTCACTCATCAATACTGTATAATATTCTGTAGCATGAATTTTCCACCATCTGTCCATTATGCTACAGATGGGCACTGAGGTGACCTGCAGGTTTTGAATCACAATGCTGCAAGAAACATCCTACAATATGTTTCCCGGGGCATCCTTTTCAAACCACGTTTTTAACATTTATTTTCCCAACTTTCTTTCTGAATCTCAGAAATTCCTCCCAGAATAACTACTCTTCTCCCTAAAATACCCCTTTGACACTCCTTTAGTTCTCCTCCACTTCTAGACAAGGAAGGAGAAGCTCAAACTCACTGACATCTAGCTAGTAAGTAGAGATGACAAGGTTCTAAATTAGGTCTGGTGTACTCCAAGGCCCAAGTACTTTTCACCATATCATACATCCTCTCAGATAGCAAAACTTAGGGATTAAAAAGTGAAGGGGTTAGCTGTTCCTCAGGACATTACAGAGTGAACCCATAGTGATAGGTGAGTGCAGTATCAGATTCAGCCTCACTACCTGTGACCTATTAACTTCCCCCAATCAAAATCAGAGCAAAAACTTAACTTGCTGGAAATCTGCAAACTCTGTCACCCAAAAACACTTCCAGGAGGGTTTTAAAGGCTTGTAATAACCATTACAAAGAAAAAGACTTGATTTTGCTACCAAAGAGACAATTTTTAGACATCACAACTCTCACTGCCAGAGAAAGTACCTGGACTTCCCTCCCCATGTCAGAATCGATCAGTAATTAAGTTGTCACGTTTTCTTTCATTGTGAAGCCTGACTCAAGGTCATATGTGCATCCATTATGACATGTATTCTTTGTTTCTTCTTCTTCTTTCCAGGAGACTGCAACTGTCCTTTTCCTTCCACATGCATTTGACAGGCAGGAAAAAAGCCACTCAAACGATGCTGATGTCCCAACGCATCTCTATCAAGCATGTGCCATGTCAATTCACAATGCAGGGAGTTGGGTAAATTGTATTTCAAGGACAGTGAAGGGACTGTGGGACAAACCAACCCTAATGTCAAATCTACTTTGGTTGAGCCTGACCACTGTGCCAAAAGCATGTGATTCATTAATTAATCCAGGCCTTCTTTCAAGCAGTATTTATTCACAGCCCGCTTGCCTTTCTGCAGGAGTGAATAATCAATATTTACGGGGCATCTAACTTCTGTGGACTAAGGCCCCATGCAAGCCTCTGGGAGCAAAATAAAGATGTGTGAGACATGTTCTCTGCCCACAAGGAAAATTACAAGCTAAGGGGAGACACGCCAAATACCGGGGTAGTGTAAATACAAGGCAATCTATGTTAAGTGAGAGATGAAGAGTATAATCAGTGTTTCAGGGAAAGAGAAAGCACTTCTAGGTGATGTAAAACTTGACCTCGGGTTCATCACAGATAGAAACATGAGAAAGGATGAGGCACAAATCCTACTGAAAGGAATGGGACTCCAACCCGTGAGGAAGAAGGGTGCACTGGAGAATGCCAAATAATCTGGCACAGATGTAATAATAATAACAAACATTTACTGAATACATACTATATGCCAGACACTCAGCCAAGTGTTTGACATGCATTGTCCCATTTAATTCTATTACTTAAATTAAATTAATATCTGTATTTTAAAGATGTGGCAGTTAGAGTTTAGAGAAGGTGGTTGTGGTAGGTACACGGAGCCAGAACCCAGGTCTGAGGCCAAGGTTACTCCTCACTAGGTTATTTCACTGCCCTCCCCAAAGCAACAAATTCCTAACTAAGCACTCTACATCCAAAGGATAAAGATCTCCTTTTTTGCATGTGTAGATTTAAAAAGACCACAATTTGGTTTCTTCTCATTCTCAAGATCCGTATCTATTTTCCATGAGGTAATTCCAAGTATTTTTAACAAAAAATCCTAACTTCAATCACTCCAACTTCATTAAGTCAGGGTCTATGTCTGATTCATTTCTCTCAACCAAAACTTTCCACATGAGGGTAACTGGATGGATGGCTTAGAGATGGACGGACTCACTGCCAGCCAGAAATAGCGGAGGGTCAATTAACGAATGAATGAAGAGATGAATGAATCTATAGTGGCATTTAATGCCTCTACCCCCTCCTTAACCAACTGGAACGCAAATGTGACTGGTTTGCTAGTCACCACTTTTCTTTAATCATTTTTATGGAGTATAATTTACATACCATAAAACTCACCTCTTGTAAAGACACACTTTGATGATTTTTAATAAATTTCCATAGTTGTGCAGCCACAACCACAATCCAGTTTTAGGATACTTTCATCACCCCAGCTGGACAGCCTCAGTCCTTAAACCCGACCTCAGCATTGGAGTTGGCTGCCAAGTCATAAATCCTCGATTCTCCAAATTTCAGAATCCTGAAGGATTTGTCTTTCTTATCTGATATGTCTCAGTAGCAAGACATTTAGGATAGAGATCCCTCCCTTCCTGGATATTTGTCTTCAGTTGCCACCACAATCTCTTCAACAAGTCCTCTGGCTACCCCTGGGGTAATTTTTTCTTCAGCTGGTTATCAACATAATCTGATGCCTAAGACTACTGAAAGTCACCCTCTTTCTTAAATCGATTTATTTTTTCAAAATTAGAAACTGTGACCAGATTGTGGAATACACAAACACAGCCCAATATTCTTCTACTTGGCTTTTTTTTTACTTGACTATTTTCAATAAGTGACTCGAGCCTTCAGAGTTATTCTCCTATAACAGAGGAACATAGCAAGTTCTTTTAACTAGCACCAGCCCAAACACAGAAAACATCCTAATTATAAAAACTGCTATTTACTGACTTCTTCCAACATGCCAGGCATAGTGTTAAGCCTATTAAACACCTTACCTCACAAAACCCTCAACACTCCAAAAAATTACTATTATCCTCACTTTACACATTAGGAAAATGTGGTTGAGACTTGAACTTTTTTTATCCATAGTTAGGAAGTGGCAGAATCATGATTTGACTCTGAAGGTCTTGTGAAGAACACTAAGAAAATAATTCTTCTGCAATTTAAATACTTAGAAGCTTAGACAACTAATGATTACATTCAGTGGATTATAATCCATCTATGTCCTATAAAACATTTCTAAATAGGCCCACTTAGGACCGAACTGCAGGTTCTGCCAATCTGTTCTTTGCAGAAACTGAGTGTAGGGCAATGTTAGCACCCCATCATTTCTGGCCCCTGGTTGAGAACATCCACCCTTCCCTAGAAACAATAATACAGGCTCAGAGTTCCCTCTAGAGCACAGGAAATAGCACCGACTATACGGCATATTCCACTTTACAGGTTATATCATTAGAGCCAACAGCCACTTGACAATCCATCTGGATGTCCTCACAGGCACTCAGAGGTCACCGAGCCAGAACTAAACTCTTGATCTTCCCAAATCCATGCTCTATGGGCTCTTCACATTCAACTGCAGCACCTTTATCCACCTAAACTAGAAAACTAGGAATCATCTTTGCCCTGATCCCTCAAATATACTGGCCCTCCCCAGGTTCACTGGCAAGAGTCTAAGCCACTTCAAACACTTAAATACCTATCATGGCAAAGTACATGTGATCTGGAACAAAGGAATCTATAAATATGCAGAGAACCACTCCACATTTCTTTAGAGGCAAATATATAGCCAATTTCTCTAACACAATTTAACCTTTATCACCAGAATTATGGTATTATTAAAATACATGGAACTGTTACATGTCATTCTTCACATGCTTATCATGGAATATAAATTGAAAATACTGTGTCAATTTTGATAGCAATCTTTTAAATACATCTACCTACACCAACGGAAAAATATTTTTCTCTAAGTTTTATACTTTTGGAGAGTTCTACCTTTTATTTTTAAACCACAAACCTACCAGCCCAAGCCTAAGTTGCTAATAACCAACTCACCTCAATTTCTTTAATCAACAAAACCATCCTGGAAATGGAACTCCTGAAGAGCTTTCCAACGAGTCCATGTTTAGTGCACGTAAAAACTTGGGGAAAATTCTTGAAACACGATGAAAATGAGACCCTGAAACTCCTCAGCAGTGGTGGGGGTAAGGAGTAGAGAGAAGAAATAGAAGTTGCCTGCTCAGGTCAAGTTACAATTTTCTCCAAGTGCACAGAACTGGGCAGAGATTCCATGTTCTCAAATTGGATTGTGCATATTAATTTTATGTTGTAAGTATTTCCTGAACATATCATTTCCTCCTCGACTTCACGGTAATAAGAAAAACCCATCTACTCCAACCTGTTATCATCTCTCAAAGGGACATGGCCTCATTTGCCTTCCTGTTCCCCTTCTCGCCCAGTCTCTAACCCATTTTGCACACAAAGAGATCCTTTTCAAACACAGATTGGATCATGTCACTCTCCCCCTTAAAAAATC